ATAGATAGATAGACACATGAAAGACCAACAGACCAACAGAAGGAAGCTGACTTAGTGAGATATAGAAGTGTAGACTAATAATGCGGGCAGAAGGGGGAAGTGGGGGAGGGGGTTTGGTGGGTGGAGGGTTGCAATGGGCAGTTGTGAGCTTCTTGGTTCTCCTGCTTGACCTGGCTTCATCCTCCCACCCATCCTTTCCCGGCCCTGCCATCCCCAGGTGAAGAGCAATGAGGAAGGCTTGCGGATGATAGAGGATCTGGGCCACCACTTCCGTGATGTTCACCTCTTGTGGATTGGGCCCTTCTACCCTGTCCTGAGACTCGTCCACCCTACCTTTGTTGCTCCCCTGCTCCAGGCCCCAGGTATCTCTCCCAGAAGCCCCAACCTAGCCACTCCCCTGCCCCTGCTCCCAGTTTCCCACCCCTGGACAGACCAGGTTGAGCAGGGAAATGGGCAATGTTGACGGAGACCCGCCATTAACCTGCTGGATGACTCTGGGCAGGTCCCTGGCTCTCTCTGGTTGCCAGTCCCTTTCAGTTTTGAGTGGTGGAAATTCAACACTGTTGGTCTAAGTAAAGAAAGTGAATCTGTTGACTGAAAAATTGAGAGAATGTTGTCTTCAGGCATGGTTGACATGGTTGGATCCAGGTCTTCAAAGAGTGCCACTGGGAATCTATCTTCATCTTGTAGCTCTGTGTTCCTCTCTGACAGCTTCATTCTCATGCTGATAAAGATGAGTCCAAGAAGCTCAGCTCCCGTGGAAATGTGAGCTCATTCTCTGCAGACCCAGAAAAAGTTGCAGGATTCCTTTACATTGGCCTGACCTGGGTCACAGGGAATAGTTCTTCCTCTAGTCACAGAGACTTGATTGCTGAGGCTTAGGGTCATATGCTCAGCTCTGGAACAGAGGATGGGGTGGCATGGCCACTCTCCTAACTACTTGGATTGAGAGTGGAGGAGGAACGAGATGCTAGTTCCAGAAGGGGATGAATGCTGGGCAAGTAGATACCACGGATGTCCATCCACCAGCATCCCCGCTAGGTTGGCATTTCCTGGGTGAGGAAGCCAAGACTCAGGGGGCATAATAACTTCTGAAGGCCACACAGTGTGCTGAAGCTTCCCTCTTCTGTGTATTCTTGCTGCTCTAGCTGCCTCTGCTGGGAGGGACTCTAAGCTGGAAAGGGATTTGGGGTGTGAAGATGGCCAGAGTATTGTGGGGGAAGATCTACCAGACCTCAGGGTGGTCAGCTGTGTCTGGTTGGCCCTGGGGGGCTGGTCTAGAGGCAGAAGGGAGCAGTGGCAGCTCTTTGTGGTGGATGGGCTCATCATCTGAGGGTGGCAGCATCCTTTGGTCTCTTTAAGGGCATAGGAACCCCTTACCTAAGTACTTAATGGCCAGTATGGGGTGGAAGGGGATACTGAGGAAGGCTAAGTCACTCCTGGGCCATGTTTGGGACATTAATAGGACCTTTAAGTCCTGTCTGGGACCATCTGTAGGACACACTGAGGTCGTGTCAGATGGTCTTTGGGTCCATGTCAGAGCATGTTGCGTCCTGTCAATGTGTGTTACGCATGTTGTTTCATGTTAGAACATAGCCCCAACACATGGTGTGGCCATGTCAACTGTTGCAGGAAATGTCAGGGGGCTCTGGGACAGATGAGGTGTCCTAGGTCCCTGTAAAGGCATTTTGTAGAGTGCTGATTTGTGTTTGGGTGTTTTGAACGTGTTGGACCAGGTAGGAGCCATGTCAAGGCATGTTGGGGTGTGTTGTGCCATGTTAGGGTGCATCTAAGTACATCTAAGTGTGTCTGCAGACTCTGCCTTTGTTCTGCTCTGTGCCACAGCCTGGTCTGGTCCCCCTTCATCTACCCACTCCTCTCTGTTTTCTCTGCCCTTGTTCCCATTCCTGCTATACTGGGCTTAAAGGGGGTATGCAGACCCCTGATTGGGATCCTCCACCTCCCAACAAAAAGCCCCTCCCCACCTCTTCTGCATGGCCCCTGATGGTCTATCTCTTGTGTCAGCCACCATCATACCCAAGGATATGTTTTTCTACAACCTGCTGAAGCCCTGGCTGGGTGAGTAACTGTGGATGAAGGGGGTTGGGGACAATCTTGGGGTCTCAGGGGAAGGCACTGCCCTTGTCCATTCCTTGTGACTGCCTCTACTAGGGGATGGGCTCCTGCTGAGTGCTGGTGACAAGTGGAGCCACCACCGCCGTTTGCTGACACCTGCCTTCCACTTTGAAATCTTGAAACCCTATGTGAAGATTTTCAACAAAAGCGCAGGCATCATGCATGTGAGTTCCTTAAATCCAGGGTCCCAGCTGGAGCTCTGGGAAAAGGGGAGTAGCCTCAGACACATATGATCTGGAGTCCTGGCTTGGCTGGATGGCTTTAGGGCCATTCTTTTTCCTTTTTAAGCCTCAGTTTCCCCATCTGTAAAATGGGGGAGGGGATAAGCCATTCTTAAAGGGTGGTCAAGATGAGGTAATGGAATCATGATCCTGGCACTTAGTAGGTGTTCAGAAGGTTTTAGTTTCTAGTCTGCCTCACTGAAACTCTGTAAAATTCAAGACACTAATGATGAAGATTGTATAATAGCTCTTTCTGCATAGCATTCCACCTTAAAATTCACTGGTTTGAAAGAATGTTTGTTGTTGCTCCCAAGATGATGAGTCAGTAGAGTAGTTCTTATCTTGGCTGGAATCACTCACATGTCTGTGGTCATGGCTGGGTTTGGGAGACAGCTCTGCTCGTCCAGGCTCAGCTCTGCTGCATGTTTGGGCCACTGGTCGAGGATGGCTTTGGTGGAACAACTGGATTCCTGCATTTGTCCCTCATCCTCCATAGGCTAGCCTGAGCTTGATCACATGGTGGAGGCTCCAAGAGAAAGAAGAGAAACATGCAGTACCTCTTGAATTTTAGTTTCAGAACAGGCAACTATGACCTCCACCTTCTGTTGGCCAAACAAGTCCCACGTCCAGCTCAAGAGCTGGAGAAAGAGGTTCTACCTCCTAATGGAAGACCTGCAAAACCTCATTGCAAAGGGTGAAGGTATAGGGAAGGACAAAGGAATGGGGACATTTTTGCAGCAGTCACCTACCACTATGATAATGATGAAGATGAGGATGGTAGCTAACAGTTATTTAGCACTTGCTGTATACCAGAAATAATGCACCAGTTCTATTGCATATGTTGTCTAATTTAATTTTCACAACCATATGAGGTAGAGATGATTATTATTGCTTCATTACACGTGATGAAATTGAGGTTGAGAGAGGTTAGAGAGCTTGCCCATGTTCAGCTAGCAAGTGAGCTAATAAGTGGAGCTGGGATTCCAACCTGATTTGTCTGACACCAAAGCAAGTCATCTTAACTCTTACTGAAGCTTTGACAGGTAGATCCCAGTAAGTTTTGACAGGAGGAAGACAATGAATTGACCAAGACCAAAAAGAGTATAGGAGGCAGAGCCAAGATTTGAACTCAGGTCTCCTGACTCCCAGCCGTGGGGTCTTTTTTTTTTTTTTAATGGATTCTTAATAGTAACAGTTTCTACTCCCTCCCAAGCCTGGTCTTTCCTGGAGATGGGTACCTGGGGGGGAGGATCAGAAGGCTGGGTCTGGGGGAGTCCATCTTGGTGGCTGGGGCTGAGGAGGAGCTCAGGGGAGGCAGGTCCCAACCCCGGATTTGCCCCTTTCTGTGTCCAGGCCAAGTGGCAGTGCCTGGCCTTGGAAGGCAGCACCCATCTAGACATGTTTGAGCACATCAGCCTCATGACCCTGGACAGTCTGCAAAAATGTGTCTTCAGTTTTGACAGCAATTGCCAGGAGTGAGTCTCTGCCCTGGGCATGGGAACATGAGCCATAGACCCAAGGGAGTAGATGGGGAATGGAGGACTGGTCAGCACAATCAGAAGGGACTTCCTGGAGGAGATGGATCAGAGCTAGACATTGAAGGACAAGGAAGGGAAAGAGAAAGAGTGATCCTTTCAGGTAGGTAGAAATGTTTGATAAAGGCCATGGGGCCACAGTGAGCAAAGCATGTGCCACAGTGAGGAGCCACCTTGGGAATGAGGTTGGAGGGCTTGGCAGGGGCTTTATCTTAAGGACCTTCAAAATCCAGACAAAGGCATATGAACTTTATCCTGAGGTTTCCAGGGAGGCATGGAAGGTGTTTGAATAGATGAAGGTCATGGTCAAAGCTGTTCTTGGACATCTGACTCTAAAGAAGACCAGCTGTCATATAGACACAGAATTCAAGGGGACCATGGAGAGGAGAAGGCTTGAATTTGTTGGAGGAAATGGGGCAGATTTGGGAGAAACTAAGAAAGAAAGGGCAGGGTCAGATATTGTGTAGGAAAGAGGGGAGACGAGCATGATGCCCAAGCTCTGCCCTGGGGTCTGGGACATGAGGCCGTTCATAAAGGTGGGATGTAGAGGGAGAAGCACGCCTGGAGAACACTTTGTTTTGAATAAAGTCCAGGGGGCTATGATGAGCAAAGCATGTGCCACAGTGCTTCTGGGTTTCTGGTTGGAAGGTGCTCTTAGGGTTTCATGTGGGTTAAGAAGCTGTTTCTTAAGGTTCTCTCTCTGGCCTGGCCCTGCAGGAGTCCCAGTGAATATATTGCTGCCATCTTGGAGCTCAGTGCCCTTGTGGTGAAACGGCAGGAGCAGATCTTCCTGCACATGGACTTCCTGTACAATCTCACCCCCAATGGGTGGCGCTTCCGCAGGGCCTGCAACCTGGTGCACAACTTCACAGATGCTGTCATCCAGGAGCGGCGCCGTGCCCTCATTAGTGGGGGTTCCCATGACTTCCTCAAGGCCAAGGCTAAGGCCAAGACTTTGGACTTCATTGATGTGCTCCTGCTGGCCAAGGTGGGCTTCCCTGGGATCAGAATTAAAGAGATAGAATGGACCTTGACTTCAAATGTCACATGGAAGAACTTGGACTTGACCCACAGGGTACTGGGCAACCATGGAAGGTGCTTGAGGAAGGGAGAGATGGGTCAGGGATATGTTTTGACTCTGTAGAAGGCTGCCTGAAAGGGATAAATAAAAGGCTGGAGACCAGGGAGGAGACCTGTGGGGTGGGCTCTAGAGATGATGAGGGACAGATCCTGCTTTGTTGTTGGAGCGTGAGGGACTGTTTCAGATTAGACTTAGACACCCTCAGAGCTGGTGTGATTCAAGAGGTCTTGCCCTTTCTCCAGGATGAAGATGGAAAACAATTGTCAGATGAGGACATCCGAGCTGAGGCTGATACCTTCATGTTTGAGGGTGAGCATCCCAGTGTGGGACTATGGGTCAGGGGCAGGGGTCTGTCCAGTCCCAGGAACTTGGTAGGTAGGCCCTGGACCACCCCATCCCACCCCATCCTCCCCATCCACCCTTGAGGGCCTTAATTAAAGGCGCTGTCCACCCTCTGGTGCTGAACAAGCCCAGAGATGCAAGCCTGTCTGGCTGCCTCTCAGGCCATGACACCACAGCCAGTGGCCTCTCCTGGGTCCTGTACAACCTTGCAAAGCACCCAGAGTACCAGGAGCGCTGTCGGCAGGAGGTGCAAGAGCTCCTGAGGGACCGTGAGCCTCAAGAGATTGAATGGTGAGTACAGGTCATCATGGTTTGTTCCTGAACCCCTCTCATTGGCTCTGCTCCCAAGCTGGGGAGAGGAAATAACTTTTTGTTAATTCTGTCATTATTGTTTCCTGGGAATAGGAGCAGAGCCTAGAGGCAGGTTGGCACACAGCCTGGAGAGCAGGGAAAGCTTGCAAGCTTATGCAACAGAAAGATCTGAGTGTCCACATTTATTGCCCTGCTTACTTGCTATGTGACTTTAATAAAATCAGTTCCCTATTCTGAATACCACTTTTCTCCTCTGTAAGTGGGGGTGGGGCAGGGAATCTTTTCTACAGGGCTGCTTGGTGAACTGTGACAGTGTGTTTAGAACAGATGCCATCCAGCATGTGTTCAGTAAATGAACTTCTCCCCTCCCTTGCTTTTCTGTCTGAAGTTGCACGTTTTCCCCAAAGATCCTTACTCCCTTTAATTTTTGCTTTTATATCTAATTCCCACCTAACAATCTATTGCAGGGAGTCACAAGAGGTTTTGGGGGGTGGAAATTTACCCATCTCTTTGTTCAGTAAACGTGTCCACACTGCTTGCCCTCTCCCAACTCCATGTCTAGTCCCATTCGAGTCTTACCTGGGCAAGGCTTGCCCTCTCCCAACTCCATGTCTAGTCCCATTCGAGTATTACCTGGGCAAGGCTGGGGCAGTTAGGAAAGAAGGTGGGTGAAGCTGGGTAGTGAAGCAGAAAGAGTAAGAGTTTGACTTCCTCTTTGCCGATTCGGATGCCTTTTATTTCTTTTTGTTGTCTGATTGCTGTGGCTAGGACTTCTAATACTCTGTTGAATAGCAGTGGTGATAGTGGACATCCCTGCTGTGTTCCTGACCTTAGGGGGAAAGCTCTCAGTTTTTCCCCATTGAGAATGATATTCTCTGGGGGTTTTTCATAGATGGCTTTTATGATATTGAGGTATGTACCCTCTATCCCTATACTCTGAAGAGTTTTGATCAAGAAAGGATGTTGTATTTTGTCAAATGCTTTTTCTGCATCTATTGAGAGGATCATATGGTTCTTGTTCTTTCTTTTATTAATGTATTGTATCATATTGATTGATTTGCGGATGTTGAACCAACCTTGCAGCCCAGGAATAAATCCCACTTGGTCGTGGTGAATAATTCTTTAAATGTACTGTTGGATCCTATTGGCTAGTATTTTGGTGAGAATTTTTGCATCCATGTTCATCAAGGATATTGGTCTGTAGTTCTCCTTTTTGATGGGATCTTTGTCTGGTTTTGGGATCAAGGTAATGGTGGCCTCATAAAATGAGTTTGGATGTTTTCTTTCCATTTCCAGTTTTTGGAACAGTTTCAGAAGAATAGGTATTAATTCTTAAATGTTTGATAGAATTCCCCTGGGAAGTCATCTGGCCCTGGGCTCTTGTTTGTTGGGAGATTTTTGGTGACTGCTTCAATTTCTTTAGTGGTTATAGGTCTGTTCAGGTTTTCTATTTCTTCCCGATTCAGTTTTGGTAGTTGATACATCTCTGGGAATGCATCCATTTCTTCTAGATTATCTAATTTGCTGGCATAGAGTTGCTCATAATATGTTCTTATAATTATTTGTATTTCTTTGGTGTTGGTTGTGATCTCTCCTCTTTCATTCATGATTTTATTTATTTGGGTCATTCTCTTTTGTTTCTGATAAGTCTGGCCAGGGGTTTATCAATTTTATTAATTCTTTCAAAGAACCAGCTCCTAGTTTCATTGATCTGTTCTACTGTTCTTTTGGTTTCTATTTCATTGATTTCTGCTCTGATCTTTACTATTTCTCTGCTTCTTCTGGGTTTAGGCTTTATTTGCTGTTCTTTCTCCAGCTCCATTAGGTGTAGGGTTAAGTTGTGTATTTGAGACCTTTCTTGTTTCTTGAGAAAGGCTTGTGTTGCTATATACTTCCCTCTTAGGACTGCCTTTGCTGCATCCCAAAGATTTTGAACAGTTGTGTTTTCATTTTCATTTGTTTCCATGAATTTTTTAAATACTTCTTTAATTTCCTGGTTGACCCATTCATTCTTTAGTAGGATGCTCTTTAGCTTCCATGTATTTGAGTTCTTTCTGACTTTCCTTTTATGATTGAGTTCTAATTTCAAAGCATTGTCATCCGAAAATAAGCAGGGAATGATCCCGATCTTTTGGTACTAGTTCAGACCTGATTTGTGACCTAGGATGTGATCTATTCTGGAGAATGTTCCATGGGCACTAGAGGAGAATGTGTATTCTGTTGCTTTGGAATGGAATGTTCTGAATATATCTGTGTGATACATTTGGTCCAGTGTGTCATTTAAAGCCCTTGTTGATATTCTGCTTAGATGATCTGTCCATTTCAGTGAGGGAGGCGTTAACGACCCTTACTATTATTGTATTATTGTCGATGTGTTTCTTTGATTTTGTTATTAATTGGCTTATGTAATTGGCTCTTCCTATGTGAGGGGCATGAATATTTACAATTGTTAGATCTTCTTGTTGGATAGACCCTTTAAGTATGATGTAGTGTCCTTCCTCATCTCTTATTATAGTCCTTGGTTTAAAATCTAATTTGTCTGATATAAGGATCACCATCCCAGCTTTCTTTCAATGTCCATTAGCATGGTAAATGGTTTTCCACACCCTCACTTTCAATCTGAAGGTGTCTTTGGGTCTAAAATGAGTTTCTTGTAGACAGCATATTGATGGGTCTTGTTTTGTTTTTATCCAATCTGATAGCCTGTGTCTTTTGATTGGGGCATTTAGCCCATTTACATTCAGGATAACTATTGAAAGATAGGAATTTAGTGCCATTGTATTGCCTGTAAGGTGACTGTTACTGTATAGTGTCTGTGTTCCTTTCTGGTCTATGTTACTTTTAGGCTCTCTCTTTGCTTAGAGGGCCCCTTTCAATATTTCTTGTAGGGCTGGCTTCATGTTTGCAAATTCCTTTAGTTTTTGTTTGTCCTGGAAGCTTTTTATCTCTCCTTCTATTTTCAATGACAGTCTAGCTGGATATAGTATTCTTGGCTGCATATTTTTCTCATTTAGTGCTCTGAATATATCATGCCAGTCCTTTCTGGCCTGCCTGGTCTCTGTGGATAGGTCTGTCGCCAATCTAATGTTTCTACCATTGTAGGTTACAGATCTTTTGTCCTGAGCTGCTTTCAGGATTTTCTCTTTGTCTCTGAGACTCATAAGTTTTACTATTAGATGTCAGGGTGTTCACCTATTTTTATTGATTTTGAGAGGGGCTCTCTGTGCCTCCTGGATTTTGATGCCTGTTTCTTTCCCCAAATTAGGGAAATTCTCTACTATAATTTGCTCCAATATACCTTCTGCCCCCCTCTCTCTTTCTTCTTCTTCTGGGATCCCAATTATTCTAGTATTGTTTCATCTTATGGTATCACTTATCTCTCGAATTCTGCCCTCGTGATCCTGTAGTTGTTTATCTCTCTTTTTCTCAGCTTCTTTATTTTCCATCATTTGGTCTTCTATATCACTAATTCTCTCTTCTGCCTCATTTATCCTAGCAGTTAGTGCCTCCATTTTTGATTGCACCTCATTAATAGCCTTTTTGATTTCAACTTGGTTAGATTTTAGTTCTTTTATTTCTCCAGAAAGGGTTTCTCTAATAACTTCCATGCTTTTTTCAAGCCCAGCTAGTATCTTTAAAATCATCATTCTGAACTCTAATTCTGACATCTTACTAATGTCCGTATTGATTAGGTCCCAGGCAGTTGGTACTGCCTCTTGTTCTTTTTTTTTTGAGGTGATTTTTTTCCATCTTGTCATTTTGTCCAGAGGAGAATAGATGAATGAGAGAACAAAATGCTAACAGGGTAACAACGACCCAGGAAAATATACACTAAACAAATCAGAAGAGACCAGAGCTCCTACCATTATCACAGCATGGTGATTGAGGGGAAACTCCCAACTCCTGGCTTCTCTCTTCCAGAAAGTGGTCGCTTTTCTCTTCAGAGAGTTGCTGCTATTCTTTTCTTCGATCTCCTGTTGAATTCGTAGGTCTTCAGAATGGTTTGATCCCTTTATAGCTGAATTCCTGGGACCAGAAGAAATTTAGGTCTCCTACTCCTCTGCCATCTTGCTCCTCCCCACTCAATTCAAATTCTGAAAAGTCAGATATTCTTTTTTTTTAATTTTTTATTGTTAAGTTAATCACCATATATTACATCATTAGTTTTTGATGTAGTGTTCCATGATTCATTGTTTGTTCATAACACCCAGTGCTCCATGCAGAATGTGCCCTCTTTAATACCCATCACCAGGCTAACCCATCCCCCTACCCTCCTCCCCTCTAGAACCCTCAGTTTGTTTTTCAGAGTCCATCATCTCTCATGGTTCATCTCCCCCTCTGACTTACTCCCCTTCATTCTTCCTCTCCTGTTATCTTCTTCTTTTTCTTTTTTCTTAAAATATGTTGTGTTATTTGTTTCAGAAGTACAGATCTGTGATTCAACAGTCTTGCACAATTCACAGCGCTCACTATAGCACATACCCTCCCCAATGTCTATCACCTAGCCACCCCATCCCTCCCACCCCCAACCACTCCAGTAACACTGTTTGTTTCCTGAGATTAAGAATTCCTCATATCAGTGAGGTCATATGATACATGTCTTTCTCTGATTGTGAAAAGTCAGATATTCTTATTAAAAATATCTGTAGCTACAGGGGCAAACTGGAGGTGGTGAGCTGGAGCCTGGGGGCCAGGGGGTAGATTTGGGGCCAAGGGCTGAAGGATGCCGAGGAGATGTTGGACCGAACACTTTGGAGGTAGTGCCCTCAACTTCAAGGCTTTGCTCAGCAGAGAAGTTCTGTGAAGTGGAGAAGTGTTTTTGTGCTTCTCCCAACTTCAAACAATTATACGCTTGGTAAAAATTTAAGCAGTATGAATTGGTTTACAATGGATATAAGCCTTTGTCTTTTTTTCTTTCTCAGCTCTATTGAGATATAGTTGACATATAATACTGTGTAAGTTTAAGGTGTAGAACACAGGATTTGATATATATTGCAAGATGAGTAAAAGGTTAAACTCTTCTATTATTTCACATAAGCCTCTGTCTTATGCCAGCACCCCGATCCCATCCCAACCTTTGATAGTTTCCTGTGTCCTTCCAATGTTCAGTCTATGCCCACATGTATCTGTCCACCATCTCTTTGCTCATTCAGTTTTCTTTCTACAACTGAGAATATACATGGAACATTCAGGCATGCACGTTGACAATATAATTTCCAGATCTTTCATTTCTTTTCAGGATACAAATTTTGAGAAATTAATTTGAATTACAAAATCAATAATGGGAAGAAGACTTTTTATTTTTTCTTGCACAAAATGAAACACTATGGAGAAGTTAGGTTCATCTTTGTTGCCCTCCCCCAAACATATCAATCCCCTGTCTCCTGAGGGGCTTCTTTTTTTAAAAATTTTTTTATTGTCATGTTAATCACCATACATTACATCATTAGCTTTTGATATAGTGTTCCATGATTCATTGTTTGTGCATAACACCCAGTGCTCCATGCAGAATGTGCCCTCTTTAATACCCATCACCAGGCTAACCCATCCCCCCACCCCTCCCCTCTAGAACCCTCAGTTTGTTTTTCAGAGTCCATCGTCTCTTATGGTTCGTCTCCCCCTCCAACTTACTCCCCTTCATTCTTCCCCTCCTGAGGGGTTTCTAGGGACATCAATTTGTCATATGTCCTTTCAGACTTTTCTGAAATTCTTAGAGATATATATTTATATAATTATTATAGTTTAATAGAAATACATGCCCACACATTTAGTCACTTGTTTTGTTCACTCAATATTATGTCTTAGAGCTCCTTTCTGAGTCCTATATAGGATTGCATAAATTATTCATCTCACCCCTCTGTTGGGGACATTTATGAGAAGATTTGTAGTTATGATAGATATTGGTGAACTGCCTTTCAGCATCTCTGTACTGATTTACCTCGCAGTGTGTGTCAGGACTAGTGAGCCCTATTTCCTCCTTTTTGATAGCTGTATAGTATTCCATCACATCGATGTACTATGATTTATCTAAACATTCCTGTCAATGGACATTTGTAGTTTGGGAGCTTTTGCTATAATAAACATGATGTAGCAAACATCCATGTACACTGATTTTTGCTCACATGTGTGGATGTCTCTCCAGAACAAATTTCTAAAAGTGGCGTTGCTGAATCAAAGACCATTTGAGTTTTCATAATTTAATTAGCTCTTGGCAAATCAACTCCTACAGATGTCTTTTCAGAGTGCCAATTTCCTCACATCCTCACTGACAGTGTGTGTTATGAAACTTTACAACTTTTGCCAAGCTGGTAAGTGAATAAAATACTTTGTTATTCTAATGAACATCACTTTAAGTATGGGTAAAACTGAGCACATTTTCACATGTTTATGAACCATGAATATTTCTTCTTCTGCAAAGCATCAGTTTGCATAATTTGTCCTTTTTACCTTGAGTTTTTTTGTTTTTTTCTTACCGATTTATAAGGACTCTTTAAAGAGAATTAATTTCTTTTCTGTTATGCAAAAATTATTTCCCAGGATGTCTTTTGACTTTATTTTGGTTTTCATTCATTTCTTTGTAATCACATTTATTAGCTTTTTTTTTAAGATTTTATTTATTTATTTGACAGAGAGAGACACAGTGAGAGAGGGAACACAAGTAGGGGAGAGGGAAAAGCAGGCTTCCCACGGAGCAGGGAGCCCGATGCGGGACCCCATCCCAGGACCCTGGGATAATGACCTGAGCCGAAGCAGACGCTTAACCGACTGAGCCACCCAGGTGCCCCTTATTGGCTTTTTTATAGCTTCTGTTTTTTTTTTTTAATGCTTGGAAAAGCTCTTCACAACTCTAATGCTAAACTATAAAACTTGTTTATTTTCTTCTAATGGATTTATTTATTGAAAAATGTTATTGAACCTAAATTTTATTTAATATTTTTATTATTATTTCTTACGTTTAATCTTTCTTCCATATTAAATCCATACTGGTATAAGTGCTGAAGTAGGAATCTATTTTTTTCTCCAAATGGCTAATTATTTCAACAGAATTTGATACATAGTTTGTATTTGTCTTAGGATTTTAAATAATAGCAGCTTTACAATAAACTAAATTTGTTCATATATTAGGGTTTATTTCTGGACTCCATTCTGTACTATCTATTTATATATTCATACATAAGCACTAAGCAGTCTTCATTATCATATTAAAAACATTTTCATACTTGATAAAGTTGGTTCTATCTTATTACTTTGCATTTACATTTTTTCTTGCATTTTTATTTTTTTCATTTGAACACTATGATTGGATTGGGTAGTTTGAAAAATACTCTTGACAGTTTTAATCTCTTAGTTATTTGGGCATCAGGTGTCAAGGATGAAGTTAACCGTGGCCGTTTATTCATGACTAATTATCATCATTTTTTTGGGCAATACTTATTCCCATTCAGTCCAATTCTCTACTTCCAGCACTCCACCAATATGATTCTAGAGCATTCAATCGACTTTTATTTGCATAATTTGTTGTTTTGGGTAGATGTATTTTAAAATTCACAGATATGTGTTATATCACAGATCTCCTGCTTGCTCTTACTTTTTTCAGAAACAGCACTATGACTTTATTAGAAATCCCTGGTTCTATGTTATGTTTAGGTTATTGCTTTGAACTGTCATATAGAATGTCTCTCTACAATCCTTTAGAGTTGAATATCCAGGAGGTTTCCATCTCATTACTGCAATGAACATCTTGGTGTGCGTGTCTTTATCTACCTGTCTGAGAATTTCTCTGGGTTCTATGCCCCAGGAGCCAGGTTGGTAGGTCATAAAACACACATTGCCTTTCCTTGACCACACTGATGCCTTCTAGAGTGGTGGCTCATGTTCATACTGTCACTATCAACGCATGAGGTCTCTCTACCCCTGTGCCTCAGCTACTTAATCCTCACCATCACCCATCTTGTTAATTCTCCCCTCAAATAGATGTGAGGTAATATCTCATTACTAGATAATTTCCATTTCTCTCATAACTGGCAACTTTGAGCTTCTCTTCATGTTTTAAATCTCTGAGTTTGAGCTCCCATGAATTCTTAGATCATGTCCTTTGTCTGCTTATCTCTTGAGTCCCTGTCATCTCTCTTGTTGATTTGCAGGAAGTCCTTGTATATTCAAGATATCGTTCTAGATCCATATATTTAGTGCAGATAATCTTCTGTAAATCTCTCATCTGAATGTTAATTTGGTCCAAGGTGTCTTTGTTAAACAGAAATCCTTAATTCTGTGCAATAGTTTTCCTTTTTTTCCCCCCTGTCTTCCAGTTTATGTTTTGGGGGTTTTAAGAATTCCTTCCTACTCATAGGTCCCAAAGATGTCATCTATGTAATATCTTCTTTAACTTTATGGTTTTACCTTTCAAGTATAAGAGAAGACTCCATCTTCATGTAGAGTGCATGATAATCCAGTTCTTTTTATTTCCACATCATCAGTTGTCTGAACCATCCATTGTTCAGGGATTGTGGGGCCTCCTTTACCAGATGCTACGTTTTCAACTATTCATGTGCCGGTCTCCGAGCTCTCAATCCTATCCCATGGGTCTGTTTTCCTGTTCTTGCAACAGTGCTGTGCTGTTATTTTATTTTATTTTATTATTACCATACTTTTATAATAGGTCTTAATATTTGGTAGATGAATTCTCTTTCTTCGATCTTTTATTTTTAAATTGACATAGCTCTTTTTTTCTTTATTTTGTTATGTTAGTCACCATACAGTACATCATTAGTTTTTGATGCAGGGTTCCATGATTCATTGTTGGTGTATAACATCCAGTGCTCTATGCAATACGTGCCCTCCTTAATACCTGACATAGCTCTTGAAGTTTTTTTTCAAATTGAATAAGATTACTGAGTTCAAAACAACAACAACAACTTGATTTTCCTGGATTGCCTTGAATATATCAATTAACTTACAAAGAATCTACACCTTTATAATATTAGGCCATCCCACCTTAGAGTGTGGGTCTTATTTGTTCAAATAACCTGTTAAGTCCAGTATATATATTTTTTCCTTTTCAGCTAATTGTATACCTTAAAAAACTTTCTTATGCAAATGTATTAACACTTTTAAGGATACCCCGTGAATGTTGTGCTTTGCTCAGAAATGCTTCTAAAAATACTAGGCTAAATTTCCTTCTAGTGACTTTTGTGTTTTTGATTTTCTAATGCTTAAATCTTTGGCCCATCTGGAATTTATTTTGGTATAGAAGTGAGGGTCAGAGCAAGGTGGGGAGAGAGTCTCCAGGGGCAGCAGGATGGCTGGGGGAGTCTTTGATTCGATCCCTGGATAATTGTTGGGGGGCTTCCTTAGGGATGACCTGGCCCAGTTGCCCTTCCTGACCATGTGCATCAAGGAGAGTCTGAGGCTGCACCCCCCCGTTACAGTCATTGCCCGCCGCTGTACCCACGACGTCGGGCTCCCTGATGGCCGGATCATCCCCAAAGGTGTCCACAGCATCAGGGGGAGGAGGTGGCGGTCCCATCCGCTGAGACCTTATCCTGACTGTTTCTCTTCTCCCCCATAGGGAGCATCTGTGTCATCAGCATCTTTGGGATTCATCACAACCCGTCTATCTGGCCGGACCCTGAGGTGCTTCCCTCCCTCTTCTCCATCCGGCGACCCGACCAGGGGGCGGGGTCCTGACCAGGGAAGTCAGACACTGCCCCTCCACTGTATCCACATCTGTCTTTTCTAGCCTTGTCTGGGTATCTTGAGAAACCCCACCCAGCAGCCCTGCCTCTCTCTGCTCCCAGGTATACAATCCCTTCCGCTTCGATCCAGAAATCCCCCAGAAGAGGTCTCCCCTGGCTTTTATTCCCTTCTCCGCGGGGCCCAGGTGAGCGCAGCAGGCATCCCAGGTGGGAATGTCGTGGTGAGGGCAGGGATCTGGGACTGAGAACCCAGACATGGCTGTGGGGGCAGGAAAGGGGGGAAATTGAGGATGGCTCTCCTTCTCTCCCCTCTTCCAGAGGTTAGAGGTAAGGGTCTGGGGAGTGGAGGTTGGGTGGGTCTAACAGGGGCTCCTCAGTGTGGGCAGAGCCCCTTCCCCCTGTCTGCTCGCCTGAGTTCAGGGCTGGGGTCTGGGCCAACCTCAGGGGATAGGCAAGCCCACATGGGGGTCCCAGACATGGGTTAGCCCTCTTCTGGATCCCTGCGGGCAGGGCTGGGGGTCTTGGGCCAGGTTCTGGGCGCGTTGGGACCTGCTGGGTCCCTGGCGAGTCAGAGACGCCACTTCTGCCCGCAGGAACTGCATTGGGCAGACGTTCGCCATGACTGAGATGAAGGTGGTCCTCGCGCTCACGCTGCTGCGCTTCCGGTTCCTGCCAGACGAGGAGGAGCCGCGCCGGAAGCCGGAACTCATTCTGCGCGCAGAGGGTGGACTTTGGCTGCGCACGGAGCCGCTGAGCGCGGGGTCCCAGTGATTTTGCGAGCTCCTGGCTTGGGATCCACCCAGAACCTACAGGCCTTGCTTTGTGGATTCCCAGGAATGAAACTTTGCAGTCTCCTCTGCCAGAGCCTCATTGAGAGCTAGCAGGGGTGGGCGAGGCGGGGTGGAGAGGAGGCCCAAGACCCTGAGAGCCTTTCCAGATGACCACAGGCCCCCATGCTGATTGCTGGTTCTACCAGAGCCCAATCAGGGAGTTTATCCTGTAGGCAATAGGGAGCCATGGGAGGTGTTTGAGCAAGAGAGGGACCAGGGTTACGGACTGACTTAAGGGCATGTTTGAGGCTCTGGGTCACAGAGGAGAACCCATAGTGGCACTACACTCTGATCACCCTGACCTCTGTTCCTACCTAATATACCCAAACTTCTCTTACCTCAGAATCCTTCACTATGTCAATAGTTACTATGTTTACTTCAACAAAGCAAATATACTTTATCCTGTGTGCCTAATCATTGCAGTCACTGTATCTGTTATATAGTCAGTTGTTTTTGCTGGTTTTCACTGGTAGGGTCGTCGTTCTTGTGTGCCTGGTTATCTTTGCCTGACTACTGGTTATCATATTTGAAATAAGATTTGCAGAATTTGAAGAAGGTAGCTTTCTCTAAGAAGGAGGTCTTGGAGCCTTGCTGATTGAAGATTATGTTAAATGAAGTTCAAGACTTGTGGTGGCCAAGATCAGGAAGGCAGTTTAAATTCTAGTTGAGATCACACTTACAGGCTCCTCCACTCCTCTCACTCTGAGGGGTGTAGCTTTTTGAGGTCTCCACTTATGTAAGGAGGGTCTTCTCACAATTTCTCTTTCTCATATCACTATAGGCCTTGATTTTTCTCCCCTGACCATGAAGCCATCAAAACAGCTTCACATTTTCCTGACTTGAGAAATGTCTCCAGGGCAAACGTGTAATTGATGTTCATTTAGCTCTAGGCTTCTAGTTCATTTGAGTGGTGTCTTTGTAATTCTTTACTATCTTTTCTGGTCATGTATTCATTTAAGAAATTGGAAAAGTATCCAGCTGTGAGAGTTGTTTTTTAAAAATTGAAAGTTTAATCCAAGTAACCTAGCTTGTCATTAGTGGGAACAGGAAGTCTCAGTTGGAATTTTAATGGTCATGATCCAGTTATTACTCCACTCTTGAATGTATTGAGGGTGAAAGTTGCCTTTAGGTGCACAGATTCCTGGACCACAAAAAAGCTCACATCAGGGCTTGAGGGAGAGGACAGCACATCACCCAGAGACCCTGGAACCTGGGCTAAATGGAGGGAGCTGGTGCACTTTGAAGTTGACTCCCCTAGGGGTGTTCCTTGTATAGGAAGAGGAGTACACATTGGATGCTTTGGTAGTCAACAGGATGGATGGTGTCGGAGACTGCTATGTATCCTGATGTTCCTTTTTGCCTTCCTGTAATCCTTAGGTTTTTGTTAGGTGTATGGCAGGCTGAAATACAGATAGCATTTGAAAACTTTTCTTGAAACTAGATTGGCTAAATGAGTATGCCCTGTCCCATGTGGAAAAGTTAAAGAGTACCTGGTAATTCTGGAAACTCTGCTGGAGAGAAAGCTGGACATTCTCTGTTGAGTTTCCCCTTTCTTCTTCTCTGTTTCTTGGGGTGGTGTGGGTAGCTGGAGCTCCCTCTTGGATTAAGAGGACAAGACCACTCTTTAGGAAAGGTGGGGCAGATAACTAAATGCAGTGAGGGTCCGATGACCCTGATCCAGCGCACCTTGGAGTTGTATTACCAAGATCACAATCCCAGTCTGCTATTTCCTAGCTGTGTGGGTTGGGGAAAATTGTTGATCTCTCTGAGCCTCAGTTCCGTTACCATATAGTAATAGCCACCTTACTACACTGATGGGGAGATTGCATAAGCAAGCATGTGCAACATCACTGAGTCAATATCTGGTAAGCATCAGTAGTCAGTGAGGGTTAATTTGTTCCCTTCTGTCATCTTTTTGCATCACGTTCTGAAATTTAAAAAGCTTTAATCACAGAAGTTAAATTTAAGTATTGGTGAATGTGGCAACCTTCTGTTGAAGAAAACTATCATTAGAAGACCCAGTTAGTTGTAAATATCCATAGTTACCTCAGAGAAACTCCAAAGGCCTTTGATGGCAAGCTGGTCTTGGAGCTAGGAACTGGAAAAAAAAAAGATTTTTTTCCCCCTTGAGAGGCATGAACCTGCCTTCATTTTTGCTTAAATGTTTCAAGATGTGGAGATCATGTGCGTCCCAATAGTGAGGTGGGGAGTTGAACCGCTTCCTTCAGCACCTGGAACAGTGGCTGCCCCTGGACTCCTTCCTCTCAGGCTGTAGGAGCACCCCTCTGGGGTACAGTGTCTAGGACCTCAAAACTTTTCTGAGGCCCACAGATTGGGGGCCCTGGAGGCTTACAGACTGCAAAATATGACAGGAACGTTGCAACATGAAATGAATAAATATTTAATGTATTGTAAGCTGAAAATCACATGTGTTTTTCTTTGCCAAGTTCTTAATTAAAATATTGTTCGTATTCCCAAAATGATATGTCTTCATAGGAGAAAACACAAAGAAGAAAAAGTAAGAAATAAAAATCATTCTATATCCATAATTCACACATATCAAAATAATCATAGTTCATATTTTCTCACATATACATCCAGTTTTTATTAATATATATAATCTTTATACAAGTAAAACAATGTTATTTACATCTAAATGTATTATATTTACATGTAATTTTCTGTTTAAAAATGCTGTTTTACTGGCTAATAAGCACATGAAAAAATGCAACATCATTGGTCATTAGGGAAATGCAAAACAGTGCTTCATGTGATACCACTTCATACCCACGAGGATAGCAAGAGTCTGAAAAAGGGAAAATAAGAGGTTTGGTGAAGATGTGGTGTAGTTGGAACCCTGACCCATTACCGGTGGGAACGTAAAATGGTGCAGCCCCTGTGCAAAACATTTGGTGTTTCCTCAATAAATTAGACATAGAACTATCATATGAGGCACTGATCCCACGCTGAGGTATATACCCCAAAGAATTGAAAACAGGTGTTCAAACAAAAGCTTGTACACAAGTTCATCGTGGCACTATTCACAATTGTCAAAAGTTGGATATTTGGGAAACAATCCAAATATCCATGATCAGATGAATGGATAAACAAAATGTGGTATATCCATAACAAGAATTTTACTGGATTATAAAAAGTAATGAAGCACTGATACATGTTACAACATGGATGAACTTTGAACTTTGAAAACTTTGAACGCTTTGAATACTTTGAATACTGAGTGAAATGTCACATGTTGTATGGTTCCATTATATGTAATGTCCAGGATAGGAAGATCCATAGTTATGGAAAGGAAAGCAGATTGGTGGTCACCAAGGCTGGAGGGTGGGAGGGGCAACTGGCAGGGGAGGAGGTCTCCTTTTTGGGTGATGAAGTGCTCTGGACCTAGTTAGAGGTGGTGGTGGCGCAACACTGTGAATGTACTAAATGCATGAAATTGTACGCTTTATAATGGTTTACATGGTGAATTTTATGTTATGTGCATTTTACCTCAACAACAAAGGATTCTATTTTCTCATATATATTTTTTGTTAATCTGGGTTTTTCAGATAATAATATAATGTGAACATCTTTCCATGACATTGAATCATCTTTCCATGACATAAAATCATCATTTTAGAGTCTTTAAAATCCCTAAGTGTTAAGTTTCAAGCCACTTTTAATTTTTTTTAAATGGCATTATATTAGAAAATAATTTAAAATTTTGTCTCGGGGGGCACGTGGGTGACTCAGTTGGTTGAGTGTCTGACTCTTGATTTTAGCTCAGGTCATGATCTCAGGGTCGTGGGATCAAGCCCCCTGATGGGCTCCCTGCTTAGCAGGGAGTCTGCTTGACATTCTGTCTCTCCTTCTTCCTCCACCCCTCCCCCTACTCGCGTGCTCTCTCTAAATAAATATATAAAATCTTAAAAAAATAAAATTTTGTCTTGCTTTGCAAGAATTCTCTTCATGCACATTGATGGCTTGAGCTATCACTATCAATTATAAATTGAGTTATTCTCAATCAAATAACTTTTTAAAAAAATAATAGACTTTATTGTTAGTACATTTTATTTTTATTTTTTAAAAAATTTACTTATTTATTTTAGAGAGACAGAGTGAGAGAGTGGGGGAGGGGCAGAGGGAAAGAGAAACTCAAGCAGACTCTGCACTGAGTGCAGAGCCCAACATGGGGCTCGATCTCACCACCCAAAGATCAGACCTGAGTGAAACCAAGAGTCAGATGCTTAACTGTGCCACCCTTATTTATTTATTTATTTTTTAAAGTAGGCTCCTCACTGGGCCATGCAGTCCAGTGCAGGGCTTGAACTCAAGACCCTGAGATCAAGACCTGAGCTGAGATCAAGAGTTGGATGCCTAACTGACTGAGCCACCCAGGTGCCCCTGTGCCGTTTTAATTTTACAGAATAATTGAGCACAATAATATAATTCTGTATAGTTCCATATAACCCCCCAACCCCAACACCCAATACAGAATTTGCCCTCAAATAACTTTTGATATTGAAATTTTATTTATATAGTAATAGATACACATACAGTTGAGTAAGATGTGGGTGTAGTTAAACACCTTTCATAGAACGCAAATGACCTGGCAACGCCACACACACTGATGTTTTTGGCCCTATTAACAGCAGTACACCACTGAGAAGGGAGAAGGTAATACTTCAGCTCCCCAGGTAAACACTGATTTCATCCTCTCACCAGTTTTGTGAATTGGAGAGATTAACTCACTTGCTCAAGGTCACTCGGTAAATGATGGAGTGGGGGTGAATTTGATCAGCTTGGCTTAGAGGTGCATCTTAACCTACAAAGGAAGTGATTTTCAAGGTGTGTCTCAGCCCTTGATGCCTCAGATCACCTGGGAACCACTCCAGCCTCACTACATGAGATTCTTTGACAGTGACTAAATTTTTAAATGGAATATTTTTGGCAGGGAATATATTCACTCATGTAAAAAAAATTGCACAGTGAAAAATAATGGTCCTCTGTCCTTCATTTCCCTGGTTTCTTCATCTTTAGGTAAATAACTTTACTTTTCGCATATCCTTTCATAGTACATTTAAGCAAATAATATATGTGCTTAGTTACCCTTTGCCTCATCTTAAATTTATGTATAATTTACAAAAGTGAAATTTGTGCTATTTGGTATACAGGTTTAAGTTTTGGCAAATGCCTGAGTTGTGTAGCCACCACTACCCATGGTCGCTCTTGGGAGTCAAAAATCTCCTTTGACTCACACCACCGGTGACCACTAGTCTACATCCCCCACCTCCAGAGTCTGGCTTCTTTCGCTTAACACAATGCATCTGAGATGCATCCATGTTGCTGTATCAGTATTTTGCTTCTTTTTATTGCTAAGCAATATTCTATCATAGGGATAAGCCAGTTGAAAAACATATGGATTGTTTCTAATTTGGGGCAATTATGAAAAAAACTACTATGAATATATGTGTGCAAGTGTTCATTGCTCCTGGAGTGGGATGGTTGGGCCATCTTATACGCGTACATTTGACATTAAACGAAATGATCATGCTCTTTCCAGAGTGTCCAGCATTTTAAACTACAATCAGTAATGCATGAGGGGTCTAATTGTGCCACATACTCACTGGCACTTGGTATTGTCAATTCTTCCCCCAGCCATCCTTACGAGTGTGTGATATTTCACTGTGGTTTTAGTTTGCATTTTTTAAATGATTAATGATGTTGGACATTTTTTTTTCACGTGCCTATTTGCCATCCATTTACCTTCTTTGGTGAAGTGCCTGCTTGAATCTTTTGCCTGTTAATTTTCCTTGTGTTGTCTGCCTTCTTGTTTCTGGATTTTGAGATTCTTTATGTATTCTGCATATAAGTCCTTTGTCAGATGTGTGATTTGCAAGTCTTTTTTCGCAGGGTGTGGCTGACCTTCTCATTATCTAAATTTCTTCCACAGAGCAAACATTTTTTAAATAAAGTACTAGGTAGCAATAGTTTCATTTTATGGATGATGCTTATGGTGTTGTATATAAGAACTATTTTGTCTGACTCAAGATTAACAAAGATTCTCTTCTATTTTTCCTTCTAAAAGTTTTAGATTTTACATAATTTAGTTCTATGATCCGTATTAAGTTAAATTTTGTGTAAAGTGTGAGGTATGAGTTCACTTTTTTCTTTTCTTTTTTTTTTTGCATGTCCAGTTGTTCTAGTACCGTTTATTGAAGATTATCCTTTGTGCATTGACTTGCCTTGCGTGTTTTTTAAAAAGTCAATTGACCACATTTAGGTGGGTCTACTTCTGGACTCTATTCTCTTCCACTGATTTTGTCTAATCTTTAGCCCATACCACACTGTCATGGTTATTGTTGTTTTATAGTATGTCTTGAAAGGGATAATGTGAATCCTTCCATTACATTTACCTTTTTAAAAAGTTTTTGGCTGTTCTAAGTCTTTTGCATTTTCATGTAAATTTTATAATCAGCTTATCTATTCCTACAAAAAGTCCTGCTGGGACTGGGATTGTGATTTCTTCAAATCTATAAATCAATTTGAAGAGAATTAATATCTTAATAATATTGAGTCTTCTAGTCCATGAATATAGTTTATCTCTCCATTAATTTGGGTCTTCTTGGGTTTCTTTCATCAGTGTTTTAGAGTTTGCATCTCAGAGATCTGGAACATACTTTGTTAGATTTATACCTTGAGTATTTCACTTTCTCTGGTGTATAATATTTAAAAAATGGTATATGAAAATATTTTTTCCAATTGTTTTCCAGTTTTACTGCTACCATAAGCAGATTTGGCATACTTTTTCTGTAAAGGATCATATGGTAAATATTTTAGGCTTTGCACATCCCATTCAGGATCTTTCCCTTCTCTTGCTTCTTCTCCTTTTACAATCCTTTTAAAATATAAAAACACTTCTTGGGGCGCCTGGGTGGCTCAGTCGTTAAGCATCTGCTTTCAGCTCAGGTCATGATCCCGGAGTCCTGGGATTGAGCCCCGCATTGGGCTCCCTGCTCAGCAGGGAGTCTGCTTCTCCCTCTCCCTCTGCTGCTCCCCTTGCTTGTACTCTCTTTCTCGCTATCACTCTCTCTGTGTCAAATAAATAAAAATTTAAAAAAGTTTTAAAATATAAAAACTCTTCTTATCTTATAGACCATGAAAAAATAGGCCACAGGCCAGATTGGGTCCATGGACCATGGTTTGCTGACCCTTGGAATACAGAAATAGAACTTCTATGTTCTATATTCTACGTAGAATATATTCTGTATAGATTTTTGTATATTGATCATGAAATCTGAACCCTACTGGATAACTCCCATTGGAATACAAATAATGCTGTTATTTCATCAATCTTAAAATGTCCCTTCCCTTGATCCACTTTCCCACCAGCTGATGCACCATTTCTTTCCTCCACA